TGCTTTGAAGAAGCCTACTACCATTGAGGTACCAGAAAAGCCAGCATAGAGGATGTTTCTCAAGCATACAGATCAAACCAATGGAAGGGAGAGCAAACACTGGTAGAACAATTTGGTTATCCCTCCTAGTTGCCAGGTTAATATGGTCTATGTGCTTCTTTCAGGAATTTCAAGCTGAGGATAGAACCAGAAGGGCCAGGAGAGGACGACCCCCACTCTAATTTCTATAAGATTCTACAAAATAGCATTGGTTCAAGTTGAATCTGAGTGGCTAGCCCATAGAAAACTGACGAAGAGAGTGAGGAGGTGAGCATCAACCTCTGCATACCTTTCAAGTATCTACATATCCATGACCCAAATGTTAAAGCCTCTGTACATAAGGCCTTATTTTGATGGAATCCAATTAGCAGATGAGGACTGGACAGTCGTCGCTACACTAGAAGAACCGGGACGGCAGCGGTGAACCTGCTTCCAAGGGTCCTCTTTGAAGAAATTGGGGAAAAGAAATCCTAGTTGACCCAATAAGCACAACCATTGCTGGTTTTTGCTGGGGATAAGCAAAGGCTCAAGATATCTTGCCTACAATCTGAGTGTGGGAAACCAGAGATTGCATTACATGCCTTTTTTGTCATAGACAACAATGCCAAAATATAATGCTTTGCTTGTAGGGATTGATTCATATAATATAAATGTGTGCCTTCTTCATTAGATCAGAAAATGATGATAGCACTTATACAATGGGAAACAAAGGCAGAATCAAGCAGATCCACAACCTTTTTCTGCACCTGTGTAGATTTTGTAGAGGCCTAAGCTATACATTGAGGAGTTAGTTACTACTTAGTGTGTTAAAAAGTCTGATGTAACAACGAAGTGACGGCTGCTAGAGAGTAGCACACCTGAAGCATGTAGTACAAGAGAGTGCTCTGATGAAGAGGTTTGTTCACCAAAAGAATACAATATGCCTGGTTGTAGTGCAAAAAGATCAAAACCAAGAAGCCAGATCATTGGAAGCGTTAACTAAAATTTTCCAACACTAGACATTGAATCAATATGTTCACGACCCAAACTCCACCTCTATAAGTAGCGGTAACCAGCAGTAATCTAGGAAACCAAAGGTCCTCTGAACAAATAACAATAATTAGGGCTTGAGGAAGCACAATATACAAATATACGTAGTCCATTGAGCTGTGCTAAATATTATTTGAACATAAAGTTTGAAAACTTTATATAAAAATATACATATATGACATCATCCACATAAGTCTGAAACACCGTACAAAGTTTTAACGAAAGGACTACCCTAGTGGTACGGTAAACAAAAAAAAAAAACAAACAAAACAGAACAAAAACATCTTGTCATGAGTTCACAAAATCGGACGGAACCTCCTCGGAGGCACAGTAGCGGCTGACTCAAAACCCAGACTTCCTAGGTCCTCAATCTAAGCTTGGTCCGCGCTAGTCACACTCGTACATAGATAAATAGTGAGCAGAGCCCAACGAATGATTACAGAGTAAAGGGTTAATGAATGACATCCATAACACAAGTTCGAGTAAACAAAAATAGATTCATATTCACATACTTACGAATCATAACAAGAAATCAAAATCCATGCTTGAGCTATCTTGGTGCATCCAATTTAGTGCCAACAGTCAAATACAGAGCGTAAGGTGCATACTTGTCATTCCATAAGTAAACCGTCGGACGGGAGACAGCATAAATATACTTGTTAGTTCCATATGCTATGTTTGGTTTATGAGATTTAAGGTGGATTTGGAAAGGAAATAAAAAGATAGATGAAATATGAATTAAAAATATACCTATATTTCACTAGTTTCACCTTATCTCTCCCTTCTCCCTTTCCAAATCTGCTTCCGCGCAAATCGTAGCCTAACCAAACACGGGTAAAGGAGTCCTCTCTGCGTTAAACGGATTACTTGTCAGCTTCCATAAGAACTACCAGAAATACTAGGAATGCATAACTTGTCCGAATTCCATAAAGGAAACCTCCCAGTCTGCGGTACATATAACATACTCTGACATCTAAAATGTTGCCCACAAATACTTCAATATATTGTACTATCAACTCATTGCTACAATACATAAATCATGCTAATTTGTCTCGGCATCCCAACATGAATCATCCTATTGATCTTATCAAGATATAACAGTAAAGTATACATAGTTTTTTTCTAAGTTAGTACTCACAGTTGACTCCGGTCGACCAGCTCAACAAGATAACTACGGTAAATCGGATATTTGTGGCCGCGTTGAACTCAAGAGCCACATTGTGACAGAGTGAATTACGTACTGGAAATTACACACCGAAGTCATCAACTTAATTTTTTCTTTTTTGTGCGGTTTATAATCTTCTGATCGTGTACGACTATTGTGCGCTTAAAATATTGGGACCGTGAGCGTGAGATGCCTAGGATGTAATGGAGCATGCCATGAGGCATCTTGTAACTTTAAAATCATTTAACAAGTAACTGTACTGAAAACAAGTCGTCTCGCTCGTGACGGTTCGTTCTGAGTGCAATTCCTTCGCTTTGAGCGACATGGCAAACATGTGGAGTGGCCGCTCAAGCGCAACTTCTATCGGCTCGAGCAGTTTGTAACCTCTGCCAAGAGTACTGGTTGCTTGATTTTTTCCGCTGATGCTCGCTCCATAAGTGTGAGACTAAGGTCCCGCTCGAGCGCAACTTTGTCGCTCGAGCGGTTGCAAAATTAATCTAAAACTTCTGAGCATGCAATTTCACTCTTGTATGCCGAGTATTTTGAGCGGTCTACCGAGCAGAACGTGCAAAAGACAAGCTAAGGCGTCCTCGAGCCACCAGAGAAATCTCTATCGCCTCGAGCTGGAGATATGCTCACACTTCTTAAATTTCCAGACTCTCAATCTTCAAGCATTCCACATACTCTATACTACAGATGATAGTGGGCTTTTAAATGCAACCTTTGGGCCATAATTGTAGAAAAACACTTATAACTTTGCCACAAATCATATCTGGAGAGTTAAAGAGAATTTCATATGAAATCAAGCCAAAAGCATGCCAATAGTATGCGACAAAATCAAGTGAGCGTTCAACTTCTCGGCGAAATATGTCCTATATTGCAAACCTAGAGACTTGCACTCATGCGACAGCTGTTCAGAATCATTGAGATGCAAATGAGTCATTAATCTTAGTGTACTGGCAACTTGATAGAGACTTTCGCATACCCCCAGTGTCTTATTTGATGCGAATGCTATGCTACTGTCCAGATTATTCTCTCCGAAAAATCAAACTTTCAATGCAAGGGAATGTGCATGAATGTATGATTACATTCTAGTTTTTAGTATCTTCTTAAGTTCAACTTCAAGGCATCTCCAATAGTTTAACGTTCTATGAGATTCATGCATTGAATCCAACTACATTCAAACACTCAGTGCTTAGGAATCTTTGCATCTTTAACCGTAGCGCTGCCAATTAGCTCAATAAGGCCTTGAGTCTCTAGAGTTCAGCTTTCATTTCCTAGCAAGTTCCCTTAGCTTGAGCTCAATTCTTCTCCAATTGACTCTAATCGTCACTTCTTTCACTCTCCTCACATTTGGAGCTCAAAGGAAAAATGAAGGTGCGAGATTGACTAGTGGAGTCCAAAGGGCCTCATATAGGCTTTCATGAAATTGACACTACAATTATTTTGGCTTTAAGCATGCTATACAACGATCCAGTGCATCAGATTATCTATATTAATTCGGGCTCCAACATTCAGCATTTCAACAACCTACCACTATGAATTACATAATCATAGCGCTAAATAACCATACAAACCAGTCCAGTATCATTTCAGAACGTCGGAGAGCCGCCAGAGTACACAGCTTCTATAGTTTGGCATCTACCATTTACCCGATTGACAATCATCTATTATAGTATTTCTACGTAGAGCCAATAGCAGAGAGGAGGAAGACACAAACCTAACAATGAGCTGCACATGCTTCACTCATAGATTCATTTAATTTCACTTTTTCATATCGACACTTTACTAATCTATGCCCTATCAATCAAATCCTGGTACGGTATAGCACACTGCTTCTTCCCTATATCCTAAAGAGGTTGGTCTCATCCAAAATATTGAATATCACTTCAACTTCTCCTACTGTATAACTTTAGTAAGTATCATGATCAAAGTGGAGCTCTTAAATAAAATTGTTATATATATGGGTATTTATGTGTTGAACTTAAATCAGACCCACAAATCTCTTTGAAATAGAGATTAAAAAACAAAACTAGTATTTGGAGACATTCAAACCCATTTCGACTTTGGCAAAGATCGATGGAAGCACCGATTGAAATCATAGAACACTTGCTGGTGAGTGAGCAACAAAGGCAGTGCCGATCAACATCGGTCATTCCTTTCCCCAACTTCGCCACTCCCAGCGCTGGCGTTCTTGCTTCATTCTTCTCTTTGCCACTGTCGGATTTCTCTCTCTAGGGCTGGAGTGAAGTGAACTAAGAGCTTCCATTTTTTTTTTCTTCACCAAAACAACGTCGTTTTGATGAAGGAATATCTCAACCCTCCACCTCTTTAGTGGGATAGGTGTCGCGCTCAAAGCTTTTATTATAGAGGATCACTTTACCATTTCACTCTAGTGGATCCTAACGCAAAAGGTAGAGGAGTGAGTCTTATTTTTTAAATTTTATTATATATATTTGATTTTCACTTTTACACTTAACACATCATATATATATATATATAAGTAGTATTTTTTTCTTTCTTATGTGACACATTTTAAATGCTTATTTTTTCTTGTAAAAAAGCCATATCAGTATGCATTTTTCATTTACATATAAAGTTCTACACGAATTCAATTTCAATTATAATAATCAATTTTATATGAACTTTATTTGAGAAATACTTATTTTCTATATATTTTTTTTATCATGTATTCAGTTTTGTCGTTATTAGATTTCTTTTATATAATTGATATTTTAATTTAATTTTTTATTTAATATGAAATTATTTATATGACAAATTGTTCAACATTGGCAGCAATGAGATAAAGATGGTAACTAACCTGTTTGAGAAATTCTTCATGCCAATTGTTAAGAGTATCAAATGATTTCATGACATTAACATCGTATACAAGAACACAGCAATCTGCCCCTCTATAAAAGGCAACACCGAGACTCTGAAACCTCTCCTGCCCAGCTGTGTCCCATATCTACCAAAGCAAAGCACACAATCACACAGCAAATAGAGAGATATTGATCAAGCATGCTCTAGAAAAAACCAGGCACAGAACAATAAAACTGAAATGGAACTGAGAACCCACTTGTAGAGTGACAAGCCTGTCATCAATTTGTAGTTCTTTGGTGACAAAATCAGCCCCAATTGTAGCTTTATATTGCTGACTGAACTTCTTATGTACATATCCAGTAAGCAGTTAAATACCCACAAATACTAATTCAAATAACATAAAAAATAAGCTTAAGTAGCTCTCTCAGTTGGGATTTTAGAACTGTTTCATTGGATTCCATGGTCAAAAATTCAAAGAAAAATGAAAGCAATTTTCAGACCCAATAGCGAAACAATTGACTTGTAATTAAAAAAACAATCAATATGGAGATTTGAAGATTGAGCTACAATACAAAAATTGAAGCTGCGATCTTCAAAATTCAGGAAAATAAAAACATGAAAATTCTTTATTTGAAGGATACTGATTCATCAATGACGTCTTACCAACCCTGACAACAAAAATAAGAATAAAAATCAATAAAATTATGAAAAAAAAAAATTACGGAATTAGGAATCAAGTCATGATTGAACCCTACAAATAAAAATGAAGAAGAAAATTAATCGTACCCACTGTCGCCGAGGACGATGACCTTAAGCAAAGTTCGTCTGCGCACGGACATGGCGAGCAAAAAGTAGAGAAGCTTTTTTGAATCTGGTAAGACTCGAAGATTTGGACAGAGAGACAGAGAGAGAATGTGAGATTTTAGAGAGAAGAGAGAAGAAAAAAGGGGCGGCAATTTGGATGATATCTCCCTATCTGGAAGTTGGAACATTAATTGGGATACCGACCCAATGGGTTGTTTTGACAAAGGGAAAATTTAGCCAAAACTTTTTTTTTCAACTCTTATTCGGTGGAAAAGATATTTTAATTTATTTTTGAGACAATTTCCTAAAAGTTCCCATCAATATGTTTGGTTGTGGATTAAGTCCTGTCAAAAAAAATTTGAACTAATAAGTCTCATTTTTAGGTAAATAGACGTGTTTGCCCTTTAACATAAATAACTGTATATAAAATTTCATTCACGTTATTTATTAGAAAGAAAAAAGAAATCAGTTAACAGATCAGTCATGGAAGTAGCTGAATATTCGAATCGTGAACGATCTTGAAGGATTTATTGGTTTGGTTCGCTATTATACGTAATTGATTTTTCGATTTTGATTCGAATAGGAAAGGATCTTAAAGGATTTCTTAGTTTGGTTCTCATTTTGAGTTGAAATCTGTTGGAGTTTGTTATGTGCAATTTCGATTTATAAATTGAAGAATTGATTTGCTGGATATTTGATCTTCGATCCGGTTTATAGGTATGTATTGTTTCGATTTTGTATATTATGTTTTTTTAGAATTTTCTTTAGTTTTGATTGAATTTATTTATGAGAATATGTTGAATAATTTTGTTTTTACGAATTGAAGACGTGATTTGTTGAATGATTTCTCGGTTTTGTTATTTATTTTATGAATTAAAAACGTGATTTGTGAAGTATTTGTATTGTTATGAAGTTTTTTGTTCTGGTGTTTATTGTTATGAAGTATTTGTGAAAACTGAGAAAGTGCTTAGTATTGTTCTGGTTTTTATTGATGCGATCTTTTTTTCTTGTTTAGATTGAAAGATGAGTGAAGGTTGTACAAATGCGTCTATTTTTTTGTTGCGCAAGTATAATGGTTGCACATTTGCAATTAAAATTGATCAAAATGTTACATATGATCAGTTGGTTGAGAAGTTATGTTTGAAATGGGATACTTTGCAATCTGATAATATTTGTCTATCTTACTCATTGCCTAGACATCCTAATTGTACGTTGGACAACAATGAGGAGTTAGATTTGTTGTTGGCATTAGTTGTGCATTTTGATTCAAAATGTATTGATGTTGTTGTGAGAGTAAAAGACTCAACCATTAACTGTGGTTATCTCAACAAAAGATTGGATTATGGAGAAAGAGAGTCAATGTTGGATCTTGAAGTTTGTGATATTGCATTGTCTCATGACAGCAGTAAGTCTGTGAACTTGTCAAACAGAGCATCTACATCCTCCAAAAGGAATTCGAGGTTGGAGGTTGATGAAGAGGTTGATATGTTATCATCATTTTTTCGACACAAGGAAAAAGTACTGTTGTCTGCTGGTTGGGCAGTTAGTATTACACATGTAGGATAGAAATTTGAAGGTGGAATTGTTGAATTTCGTAATGCATTGTCAAAGTTTTCTATTGAGTGTGGATTTGAGTTCATATTTGTTAAGAATGATAAAGTTCGTGTTACCGCACAATGTTTGTTTAGAGAGACAAAAAGTTGTATGTGGAATGTTCATGGTAGAGTGGAGAATGCTAATGGGTTCTTTTATATAAGGAAATTGAACAATGTCCACACATGTGGTGCTGAAGTACGTACGATGAATCATTCTCGTATGAGTTCGAATTTAGTTGTTGTTTTGATTGTTGAAGGTGTTCGTGATAATCCATTGACATGTCCAATTCATGTTGTTTGGGATTTTAAGTTAGGGTATGAGCTGAGAGTTAGTTATCGTCAAGCTTGGTTGAGGGTAGAGAAAGCAAAATGTGAGATTTTTGGAGACTACTTAATGTCATTTGACCTGTTAAAATGGTATGTGGATGTTACAAAGAGTTGCAATCCAGGGAGTTACATTGAGTTTGAGTGTACCAATGATACTAAACGGTTTAAGAGATTATTTGTTTCTTTTCATGGTTCCATTAGTGGATTTGATTATTGTCGACCTCTCTTACTCCTTGATAGCACATTTTTAAAGGGAAGATTTAAAGGAAATTTACTTGCTGCTACAGGAAAAGATGGAAATCAAGGTACAAAAGAAATCTGTTTTCTCTGTTCTGAAATTGAGAAAGTTCTCAGTTTAGAAATATGATTGAATGTTTTAAATTTTATATAATATTGTTGTTGTATATGCATTTTTTATTTTTTCAGTTATTCATTTTCGTGTTTGATATTTTGAATGTTAAAGTGTTACAATTTTCTAAGAATAATAGAATATTTTCATTTTTTTTGTTTTGTACATGCAAGGTTCTTTCCTGTTTGTTTTGCAGTTGTTGGCTCAGAAAATCAAGATAACTGGCGTTGGTTTTTGGAGCATTTGAGTAGAATTGTTTCACCAGAATGAAATATTACATTTGTGTCAAATCGTAACCTTGGATTAGTTGAAGTGTTGCCAAAGGTTTTCCCAATGGCTTTCCATGCTTGTTGTTTATATCATTTGAAGATGAACTTGAGGCATCATTTGCGTGGTATGTTTCATGGATTGAAAGAAAAGCTGATTACTCTGTTTGGGAAATGTGCATATGCTCCAACTGAAGAAACATTTCATCAATGTTTGGTTGAGTTAAAGACTGAAGGTGGGTCAAGAGTTGAAAAGATTTTAGATGACATACCATATGATCATTAGAGTAATGCATATTTTCGAGGACAAAGCTTTGGAGAGATGTGGTCAAATGTAGTTGAATCTTCCAATTCGTGGATACGAGAGGAACGCCACTTGCGTATCACAAAGTTGATTGATAGTGTAAGAATTAAGTTGATGAGGAAAATTGCTAAGAGGAGGGAACTTGTTAATAAATGGAATGGTTTGATATGCCCTAAAATAGAGTCCAAGTTGCATGATGGTTTTAATACTTCGAGGCCATGGATTGTTAGTTCATTTGGAAATGATGCCTATGAGGTGCATTCACATCCATCTGTTTCAGTTGACATTAGTAGACGGATATGTTCTTGTGGCGAGTGGCAGTTGAAAGGGTTTCCATGTGCACATGCAGTTGGTGCTATACAAAAGAGTGGACATAATTTGAGTTTATTTGTTGATCAATACTTCTATGTTCAAAGTTATCGAGAGTCCTATTCTTTTCCCATATATCATGTTCCTTCAATTTGGAAACCAGATTGTAATGTTGATGGTGATAGTGAAGTTGTTTTTCCTCCTTTGTCTAAGAAGCAACCAGGAAGCCCAAATAAGAAAAGGATTCGTTCGAATGGTGAGAAAGTGAGGCAAATTACTTGTAGTAGATGTGGGAAGGTTGGGAATCACAATAAGAAATCGTGTAAGAAGGCTTTGTGATTTTTGTAGCTGCTTTGTGATTGTAAAAATTTCGTATTCATAAATTTCTTGAAGTAGCAGTTTGTGCTGTTGAGCACTGAGTAATAATCTTCTATGTTTTGAATAAAGTGACATTGAATTGAAAGTGAAAATATTCTTAGTTTCAAATTTTAATTTTGAAATTGTTTGTGATAATATTGTTTTGTTGGCTTTCGGAAATAAACTTGACTGTTGAATGTTTGTTTTGAAGATTATGTGAATACTGTATAAAAAGTGAACATATTCTCAGTTTAAGTTTTTAGTTCAAAATAGTTGATTTTGTGATAATAGTGAGAGGCTCTTGTTATAAATTGGAACTAGTTATAAATGTGATCAATTGAATGAATGTGAATTAATATTCTAAATAGATGTGGTCAATGCTTTATGTTTTGATTAAAGTAACAGTAGACTGAAAATGAAAATATTCTTTGTTTCGAATTTTAGTTTTTCAAATTGTCATAATATTGTGAGGCAGCAAATAAATTGTTGTGATAATATTGTTGTTTGAAAATTGAGTGATCTGTATAAAATTGAAAATATTCTCAATTTTA